CACACACACACACACACACACACACACACACACACACACACACACACTTCTAAACTGGTTAAGAGTAAGTTACAAACATGATGCCCTTTTGCCCCTAAGTACTTTTGCTTGTATAATCATGGTACAGTGATCAAAATCAGGAAATTAACATCAAATGATGCTATCATGTAATCTACAGACCTCACTGAGATTTTGTTAGTTGTTCCGATAATGTCCTTCATAGTGAAAGAAAAATCTAAGATCATGAGTTTCGTTGTCATGTTTCTTTAGTTTCCTTTAATCTGAACGATTTTTGAGTCTTTGTATTTCATAACATTGACATTTTTGAAAACTACAGGCTTGTTATTTGAGGATTTCCTCTCATTTTGGGTTTGTCTGAAATTTTCTTATAATTATGTTCAGGTTATGCACTTGCGGTGGGAAAACCACCGAGGTGATGCTGAGTTCTTCTCAGTGCATCATATCAGGAGGTACACGCTGTCGATTTAGTCCCATTACTGACAGTGTTAACTTTAATTATTTGATTAAGGTGGTGTCTGCCAAGTTTTCCATTGTACAGTTACTCTTTTGCCTGTTGTAATTGGAAGTATCTGTCCTTGAGACTATGTTAATATCCTTTTATTCCCCAAACTTCATTTGCTAGTTTAGCATTCGCTGATGATTTTTTTTTTTTAATGGTGGGAGTATGGTTTATTAAGCCGTGCCTTAGTACAGGCACTGGGGCTTGCTCATGGTGCTCTGAATGTACAAAGCCCGAACGTTCTGCCAAAGCCCGAACGTTCTGCCAGTTTTTCCTGAGCAACGACACCAGGAAGCTGACAGCTAAGTGGATGTTGTACGCAGGCTCATCATCTGTCATTTTCATGTGGCCAGCAGCCACCGCCAGACACAGCACCTTCTTCATCTGGAACTTGATTGCAGACTTCACTTCATCAACTTGGCCACCATGTTCTCATTGTGGGTCAGCAAGGAAGGGAGCTTGCCAGCCTTATTCAGGCCTGGGCCCAGGATTTGTGGGATCTGCTTGATCATAGATTCTGAAGCCAAAAAGGCATCATACTTCTTGGCCAGCTTCTTGACCAGTTTCTTATTCTTGCTGAGTTTCTTCAGGGCCTCAGTGTCCACGGGGGGGATATCCACAGCCTTGGCCTCATCACAGTGCTGCTGGTCCCCCAGAACACATACGGAAAACTTGGGGTGGGGAGTGGACTTAAGCCTGACGGTGCCTGAGAAGCGTTTGTCCTTCTGAGAGTCATAGTTCTTCAGGCTGATCTGAAGCTCCACCGTCTCCAAAAACTTACGGCGTTTACGCTGGTTCTCGTGCAGGACTTCCTGCACCACCTCGTAGAGGGAGTCTCGGGAGACTTTGCTGCTTATGGCCCCTCGCGCCGCGATAACCAGAAAAGAGCTCATGGATGATTTTTGCCTGAATCAATTTTGTATTATGATGTGGTGGTGACTTATTTATTTATTTATATCAGAGCAGACTTTGAGAGTGTTACTTAATTCAGTATGATATTCAAATTGTCTCTGGGGCCTCCCTGGTGGCGCAGTGGTTGAGAGTCCGCCTGCCGATGCAGGGGACACGGGTTCATGACCCGGTCCGGGAAAATCCCACATGCCGCAGAGCGGCTGGGCCCGTGAGCCATGGCCGCTGAGCCTGCGCGTCCAGAGCCTGTGCTCCGCAACGGGAGAGGCCACAACAGAGAGAGGCCCGCGTACCGCAAAAAAAAAAAAAAAGGGTCTCTGATTTGGCCAGTGAAATGAGAGTCACTTCAAGCTGATTCTAGTGTCCCTTTCACGTTTCCATCAATCTTCGACCACTTTTTGCTATAAAAAGATATTCCAGGCTCAGCATAATTTTCCCCTGTCCCAGCCCTAGAATCAGCCATTTATCAAAGGAGACTTCATCCCTTTGGTGGAGAATGGATTTTAGGAATCAGTATCCGGGTACTAGATGTGCTCATTGGTTCTTGGATGTCAGTGTTTCTCTTATATGCCCTCCCAGAGGACATAATTGGGAAATAGATATATATACTTGTGTGCCTGTACACACATTTGTATGCAGATCTGCACTTCCTCCTTCCTTCTCCCCTCCTCTGTCTTACTCCATTCTTTCCTCCCTTTCCGTGTTTCTGTTTGTCTATCTACCTATCTGTCTATATTAAACCCATGAGTTCACACAGGTATCTCCAGTCCAATCTAACACTTCCCATTTGTAACTCCCGTATTCAACAATGTGAAACCAGTCTCCAGTTATCCACAGTATGCGTACTCATTTGCTCAATCCTAGAATGTACAAAACTGTTTGAGAATTGCAATCCATGCCTCTGCAAAAAAAGAACCCTACAAATTAGAGTTCAGTATTTGTTTAGAGAACTTTTTGTCTTTAGCCTGAGGGCATATAGTCCAAATGCTATGTTCAAAAGTTAATTGGGTTGATTTTTTTTTTTTTAAACCTCCACTTTTTCGTGTGGTTATGTTAGTCGTTTGAACTTCATTTTGGTTCATTGGTTTCTGTTAGTATTTATTTTTAGAGTTTTCCTTCATCCGTATGAATTTTATTTATTATCTTCCTCCCTTTCTCCCTCCCTTCTTCTTTTCCTTCCTGTCTCTCTAGTACATGGGAAACATTAATGTGGTTCCAAACAAACGTGTGCAAAAAGGGACATTCAGTGAAGTATTACCGCCCCCCCATTCCCTCTACCCTTTCCACCCAATTTCTACCCATACCCTGTAGATACCTAATCTTATTATTCTCTGATTTTTCTTCCCTTTGTTTCTTTCTGCACAAATGATCAGATGTGTATGTGCTTTCTCATGAAGTACTTCTCCCCTTTTTTGAAGGGTGGAGTATTACAGATACTCTTTTTTGCACTTTGCTCTTTTCACTGAACAGCATATCTGAGAAATCCCTCTGCATGAGTTCATACATATCTTCCTCATTCTTCTTAACATCTTCATAGTACTCCTCTGTGTGGATGTAGCATAGTTTCTTTTGTTTTCTTTTCTTTCTTTCTTTCTTTATTCACGTCTACGTTGGGTCTTCGTTGCTGAGTGTGGGCTTTTAGTTGCAGTGAGTGGGAGCTACTCTTCGTTGTGGTACACAGGCTTCTCATTGCAGTGGCTTCTCTTGTTGGGGAGCACGGGCTCTAGGCACGTGGGCTTCAGTAGTTGTGGCACACGGACTCAGTAGTTGTGGCTTGAGGGCTCTAGAGCACAGGCTCAGTAGTTGTGGCACACAGGCCTAGTTGCTCTGCGACATGTGGGATCTTCCTGGACCAGCGCTCGGACTCGTGTCCCCTGCAATGGCAGGCGGATTCTTAACCACTGCGCCACCAAGGAAATCCAGGATATAGCACAGTTTGAGACATGCTTCTACATAGGCATTTAGGTCAATTCCAATACTTGGCAGTTACAGTAGAGCAGTGAGTAACCCTGTGCATCTGTATTGTTGGGGGTGTATCTTCAGGATAAATTCCTGGAAGTGAGACTGCTGGGTCAAAAGGCAAACACATGTGTGGTTTTGTTTGCTGTTGCCGGAGTCCCGTCTCTGAGGGTTGTGCTCCCACCAGCATCCTGTGAGAAGGCCTGTTTTCCCAGTCTTGCCAACAGCATGTGTTGTTATATCTCTTAATTTTTGCTGATCTGTTGCTGTCTCAGTGTAGTTTTAATTTGTGTTTTTATGAACTTGACGAACTTTTCATATATTTAAGGGCCGTGTTTCTTTTTTTGTTGTTGTTAGTTGTCTGTTATGTGTTTTCACCATTTTCTATTGAGTTTTGGTCTTTTTTCATCTCAATTTACAAATATTTTTCTTCCAGTTTTTCAGTTCTTTGACTTTGTTTATGGTGTTTTTAAACCATAAAAAAACAGAAATTGTTTTAAATTTTTTTATTTTAATGTAGTAAAAATTATCACTCTTATTGCATATGGATTTTGAGTCACAGTTAGAAAAGCCTTTCCCTACACCCAGGTTAAAGAGGAATTCATTCTTTCATTTTTTATTTTCTAGTACTTATATGAAATCCCCTAGGTATTTTAGGTTATTTTTACTTTTGGGGAAGATTTCTCAATAAGGCCATAAGTTCCAAGTATTGTTCCTCATTCTGTGCACCTTTCAGATGGTAATTATTTTTTTTCTCTCTCATCTCTACTTTTTTTCCCTAAAATACTTTCCTGAAGTTTTATCACACTGGGTTAGTTTAAAATAACTCTTTATACACATGATTGTATAAACACATGTTCTTGTGTGTGCTGTGAGAGTTGGGGAGGCCGTCTCAAGAATAAGGCATCGCAGCACAGGCTGCACTGGGTTTGCATGCACAGATTCTCCTAGTGCTATTTACCTGACATGGACAGGTCCAAAGCCACAGAATTGTTTGCTCCCTTTGACCTAGTAATTGCAGAACAGATCATTTATCCTAAGGAAATAATTTAAAAAGAGGAAAAAACTAAATGCATGGGACTGTTAATTGAAGTAATATTTCTATTAGTGGAAAAGCTGAAACAATCTAACTGTTTAATAATAAGGTTATAGTTAGGTTAAGCATGAAAAGGCCATTCATTGGATTTTGGAAAGTGCAACTGTGAAAAATAATGAAAACTGTGGGAGTATGGAAACATGCCTATGTTTGTTAAGTGAAAAACAAAACCTGTGTCTATCATGATTATAACTAACAAACACTTAAACTTGCATAAGAAGGTGAAGTGGACTGTTTAGAGCAAGATGCACTTAGGTGTAGGATAAGAGATGTGGTCTAACCACCAGATGAAAAATCAGGAAGAGTATTGTCAGTGGCTTAGGTTCTGTGTGGTACATCTGTGGAGCAATTTTCAGGAACACTCATAATGAATTGTATTGATCACTTGCTGGAAACTGACATTTTGATACAGGGCAGAAGTCCATCACTGGGCAGTTGAGGAACTTACTGGTTCTGTTTGAAGCTTTCTGAGTTGACTTTGTGAGGAGGATTCTAGTATGCTGCTAGTAAACCAGAAGTATAATACTGGGGACTGGGTGATGGTAGGATAGAACCAGGGGTGTGTGGTTAACTCAAGGGTGTGTGAGAGTAGCTGATTCTATCAGTACAACAGGAAAATACCTCGTAGCACTAATAATCGTGTGGGTGAAATGTTAGAAACTTGATTATAGACATATACTAACTATGCAATATGTTCTTTTTCTAATGTGTGCTTGCTTTTATTTTTTTTTTTTGAAGAACCAGCTGCAGTTTAATAGGAATGTTCCTACACATTCAAGCAACTTGGCAATCCAATATTCTTGCCCACATGGAATTAGAATTGAAAAACTAAAGCACTCATACAATGAGTCATACCATTGTAGAGATTCAGGTTTTAGAGACGGTCCTGACCTGGGCAGTTCTGTTTCATTTTCTGTCATATCAGAAGAGAGACTTAGCTATGCCGTCCATCTAGCCAAAAGAGATGTAAAACGAAGACAACTTGAAGAACATATAAAAGAACACCATCTCAGAAGTCAGCCCCAAATCCTTCAGAAATGTGGACAGTCTAACCATAAAATATCTGACCATAGAGTGGAAAGGAAGGAATCAAAGAGTCGGGCAGTCTGTCACGGCAGCAACCAGCCATCCAAAGTAGAAATTTCCAGCTCAGGTGCCAAGGTATACCTGTACACATCTCATCCAGGACAGTCAGACCTCACCATGCCAAACTCGCCACCCACTCGCGATCCAGGACTTCAGCCACATGCCAGGGTAGGTGACCACAAAAGCCTGCTGGGAGTTCAGCGACTCCAGAAAGAATTGAGCAGTTGCATCCGTAAAATTGAAGAATTAACTAAAAAAGGTGAGAAAAATGGGACTCTTGACTTCGAAAAGATGCTACGAGAGGGTATAGTCCAAATACGTTCTTCGGGATCCCCGCCCCCTGTCACATTCCATTCTCTCCTGTCACTAGAGTGAGCACTCATGACGAGACAGGTGGACTTTGAGTTTGACCAGTGTCTTTTTTTCTGACGAGTTTGTTCTGCCCTAGCCCCTCTTTCCAGCAGAGGCACCTGAAAGAGCCCCTTTTCCTTAGGCTGTTCTTGGTAAGTCGACTGACTGAGGGCCCTGCCTAGTAATTGCGGTACCTGTTGTCTGAAGCTTAGGTCTTCTAGCACCTGAGTGCAAATTATCCTGTAATGTTTTGCTTGTGTATCCAGAAGTCCTTCTGGAAAAATTAATTTGTTCAGAAAAGAGCATAATACCTGTATATTATAGCTAAAACCACTTCTAACTTAGGCAGTGGTTAGATGAGTACACAGCAGTGATGGGAGGTTATGGATATACGTATAAAATATCTGACCCCAGGGTAGAAAGGAAGGTGTGTAATCCTCATATACTGTTCTCTACAGTTTTTCAGTGTTCCCTATGCCCTTGCATTTCCCTGGGGAGTAGAAGATTGCTTGCACATGAAAAATTTGGGGTTACCATAGCTAAGAAGTACGGGGATCAAGCCCAGCTTTCAGACTGCAAGGAATAGGGAGTTAACATCAAAAGGAGCTACTGTGCTAAGATAACACATAGTCTATAATGATCTTTTGCACTATAAAGTCAAGTAATGTATGCATATGTGTGCGTATGCATGTTACGTAAGGAATTTAAGGTGCCTTACAAAAACAGATTGAATAAAATAGAAGGAAAATATGTAAATGAGGATATTTTGGCACAGGAAAAAATAAGGAAAGGAAAAATAAGATTTATTAGGAACGGGTTACAGATTTGTTTCTGAGCTTCCTCACAGCTCACCAGGAAAATGTGATCAATTGCAGAATTTACAAAGAAAAAAACAGTTGTATGAGGAAAAAAATTATACCACATATTGAGGCTGGAAAAAATTTCTCTGGTGGGTCTTCATAAAGAGAATGTTGTGTAATATGAACAATTTGAAAACATTCCTACATCAGAATAGCAGCAGTGTTGTGGCTTGTTTCTCCTAACATCGCTCAGTGGCGGTCTGTGGCATGACCCCACAGTATAGTTTGGTAGAAACCATGATACCAGGGGAGCAAAGCCACGAGGCCCGCTGCTCTGGTGATGGGGCCTCATACAGGGGACCTTTAAAGCTGAGCTGCTCAGGCAGTCTTCCAGAAACAGTTTCTTTGAATGAATCTTTTGAAAATGTGGAGCAGCAGTGTGTACGAGGGTGTGCTTCCTGACAAATAAATGAAGACTTTGGACATGCAAATAATTTTAGCCCTTGGTGTCTTAATATGTTGGAGAAAGGACTTCTCATCTGGGTTCAAGATAAGAGAATGCAAAAGAAATCTTGCTAAACATAAAAATAGGTCAATAAATGGTTTTTTTAAAAAATAGAAAGCACGTGACTTCCCTGGTGGTCCAGTGGTTAAGACCCTGCACTTCCACTGCAGGGGGCATGGGTTCCATCCCTGGTCGGGGAACTAAGATCTTGCATGCCACGTGACGTGACCAAGAAATTTAATTTAAAAAAAAATAGAAAGCATTATAGATTTGGGTTCAATAGAAAGAATTTAAAAATAGTAAGAGATGCATAACTGTGGTATAGGCTGTCCAGTGGGATTTGGTTCAGGGAATTCCTGCCTGGAGGGGAGCTTGATCTAGTTAGTCTTCATGTCTCTTCCATCTCTGAGTCAGGACACAGGCCCACTTGCTGGTTCCTAGTTTTATGGCTGAGGAAAACTGAAATTTTTGGTTATGACAGCTTCATTTTTTTTCTTAATAAAACTAGAGATTGTCAACCTCATTATCTCTTTGAGTAATTGAAGTTTTTATAAGTTTTTAAAGTGTGGTTTATAATCCACTCTTGGGGGAAAAATATTTTCAGATCGCATGGAAGAAGCTTTGGATCCAGATGAAGAGCGGAGAATCCGTGTCAGGAGGAAGGAGCAGGCCGTCCGTTCTGCCCGAATGCTCTACGTCCTCCAGCAGCAGGTGAGGAGGCTCAGGGACCGGGGACCTTCTCAGGGAATTCCTGTTTTCCTTTTGTCTCAGCAATATCAGCACCAGGTATCCTACATGAATTCTGATGTGTTTGTGAGGCCGAATTTCCTGAACACGTGGACAAATAATTCTGCTTCTCGTCCTCAGCCTTTATGTGTGTTTGTGTATTATGTGTATATGGCCAAACTCTTTATTTTATTTTTATCTTTTTAAAAAATTTTTATAATTTATTTTTGGCTGCCTTGGGTCTTTGTTGCTGCACACAGGCTTACTCTAGTTGCTGCGAGCAGGGGCTACTCTTTGTTGCGGTGCGTGGGCTTCTCATTGCGATGCCTTCTCTTTTTTTTTTTTAATAAATTTATTTGTTTTATTTATTTACTTTTTAAAAATTTTTGTCTGTGTTGGGTCTTCGTTGCTGTGCACGGGCTTTCTTTAGTCGTGGTGAGTGCAGGCTACTCTTCATTGTGGTGCACGGGCTTCTCATTGCAGTGGCTTCTCTTCTTGCAGAGCGCCGGCTCTAGGCACACGGGCTTCACTAGTTGTGGTGTGCGGGCTCAGTAGTTGTGGCTTGTGGGCTCTAGAGTGCAGGTTCAGTAGTTGTGGCGCATGGGCTTAGTTGCTCCAAGGCATGTGGGATCTTCCCGGACCAGGGATCAAACCCGTGTCCCCTGCAATGGCAGGCGGATTCTTAACCACCATGCCACCAGGGAAGTCCCTGGCCAAACTCTTTAAATACTGAGGGATTTTTTGTTTTTGTTTTTGTTTTTTTCTTTACTTTTTGGGGTCATAGACTCTTGAGAATCTACTAAGAGCTATGTGTCCTTTCCCCAGAAAAAAATGCTTATACAGCCCATATTTTTGCAGATAAATTTAAGTGGATCAGTTACCCTGAAACCTGTGGTCCCCAGTAATGCACCTTATAGTCTTAGAGGATAGGGACCTTGTTAGTTTCCCATCTGTCTCATGTTTATTGTGTATTAGAAGCTTAGTAGATAGTAAATAGTTTAATTGTCTTTACTAAATAGTAAAGAGTGAAGAATGTGTTAAGTGTCTTTCAGGACACATGGAGTGGCCGATAAGCAGGCATTTACATTTTTTACATTGTGGATAGAATTTTTAAATGTTTGTTTTAACTTTATCGCCTTACTCATTAGTAAGCCTTGAACTCATTTCTGGCCACTTAGCTCACGTGTTAGCCTTATTGCTGAACCCGAAACTGGACTGTTTCATTTAAAAGATAATGCCTGAGTTAGATTTTGTTTTGTATTCTTGTTGGGTTCATTTTGTTTTTTACTCTGCGCTGCTGCCGTAAAGATTGTTCTGAATCATGAATCAGAGCTGTGCTTGAAAGGTTTGATTGGCTCGCCGTTACTTAGAGGGTGGAAGCTGAATTCTTTAGCCACAGCACTGAAGACATCCTGATCTGGCCCTCCTACCTTTCCAGAGTCACCTTCACCTTCACTCCTTCACGTTAAATTCCTCTTACATTGGGGACCAAGGGATGGAAGGTGAACCCTGTGCTCTAGTCACCATCTCGAACTGGAAACCAATAGCTACTTTGGGGGTGAATGAATGAAGAGCCTTGTTTCATTTTCAAGTGACTTGAATTAATAAGGGTTATATTTGGGACTTCCCTGGTGGCGCAGTGGTTAAGAATCCGTCTGCCAATGCAGGGGACACGGGTTCGAGCCCTGGTCCAGGAAGATCCCACATGCCGTGGAGCAACTAGGCCCGTGTACCACAACTACTGAGCCTGCGCTCTAGAGCACGCGAGCCACAACTACTGAACCCCTTGGACCTAGAGCCCGTGATCCACAACAAGAGAAGCCACTGTAATGAGAAGCCCACGCACCGCAACGCAGAGTAGCCCCTGCTCGCCACAGCTAGAGAAAGCACGCAGCAACGAAGACCCAACGCAGCCAAAAAATAAATAAATAAATTTATAAAAAAAAATAATAATAATGGTTATATTTGGACAAGAGAAAATGTATCCTTTTCTACAGAAAAGATCAGTGGAAAGGTACGAAGTTTTCATTTCTTCCCCCTTTACAAAACAGGTTAAAGAAATCCAGGAAGAATTGGATAAATTGAGTCCACATAAAATTAAACATACTAAGAAGGTATGATGCAATTTAATTATGATTAATACTACTTATAAACTACATTTCCAGTATTTTGTTAGTATTATGTGTGGGTTCTCTGCACTAATATTATTTTCAGTGCTTGTAGAAACCTATTAGGGAGTGAGCATCTTACATATTCTGAATATGGGCTCATCTTCCAAGAAACAGGTTCTGAAAATAGATTTTTGTTGTTGCTCCTGGTATAAGAAACTGAGCATGAAAGGGAAAAGACTTTTTCATTAGAAAACCTTTAAGCTTTACAATTCCCTTTACTATGAAAAAGTTTTTACAGTAGAAGTTGTTCTTACATAGAAAGAAGATTGGCTATAAATGTTCGTAAGGGTTGGGTTAACGTTTAGAAGTTGTGAGTATTGAAATAACTCTCGCATCTCATTTATTGCCAGTCATGGGCAGTGTCCAGGCTGGCAGCTGCCCATCGAGGAGCCATTCGGGCCTTACAGATGTTTGTTACTCAGTTTACTGACCGGGTGGAGCACGCAGTTCCTATTTGGTGCAAGGAATTGGGCAGTCTCATCCGCCAGCTTTCACTCTGTTCTGCCAAGCTGGAGGCCAATTCTTCTGTCCCTGATGTGGTGATAGATATCCTGCAACAAACTGAGGTATGAAATTGACTCCGATTTTTGTTGAAAGTGCATTGTTTCTAAGCAGGGAAGTAATGTTTACCATTGCCTAATTTCATTGAGATTTGTGGAGAATACAAGACAAAGCTGGCACCTAGTAAATTCAAGCTTTGCAGAGGGCAGAAGAAGCACTTCATTTTAATTTTGTTTTTACAATCTAGTCTATATTGTATTTCACTGCTTTGAGAATTGGTGACTTGAGTCTAGAACACATAACAGCTCTTAACCAGGTCCATTAATTAAACAGAATGTTCCATACCATGACCAAAAGAACTTATTAACATACAAAAGGAAAACAGTAACGCACTGTTTAGATTAGTGCTTAGATTAGAATATCAGTGTGCAATCTAGATAGATTTTTGAAAAAAAGAAACACAAAAATATATGGAAGCAGAGTCTAAAGTCTTGTGCTATGGCTAGAGACTTCTGGAAATCACAACCGGTATGTACTAGTCAGGAATGGATAGTGTTTTTAGTTTTATTGGTGACAAAGACAGCAAAAACACTGTGTCCTTAAATCTTTATAGTTCTTTGAAGTTTGTGGAGTGCTGTCATTTCATCCTTACTGCGTTGCTGTGATTTGCAATAGGTTTTATTACTTTTATTTTACAGATTAAAAAAAAAGGTCAGAGACATGACACAGTTACTTCTCTCGATAGCTGGAAATCCAATGCCTGTCTTCTGACTCCCATGCCACTGTTATTTCCACTGTGCCACACATTTTCATCCACAAATAAAAGGATGGCCTTTCTGTTAGTGTGACACAGTAAGCTGTTGGCTGTAGAGGAAGGATGCTGTAGTGGGAAGAGTTCGAGACTAAGTGACAGACCAGTTCTACCATTAACTAGCCCTTGGTGATCTTTAAGTCCCCTTCTGCCTTTACAGTTTCATTATCCAGCAAATACGTTTGTGATTTACGTTGGTTACATTTGTGTGTATAGAACTTAACTATCAGGAATGTTATTGTCAAATGGAGACCTTTAGGTAGCATATCAAGTTATGTGGTGCTTTTTAAACTTATCCATAAGAAATATTTATTGGCCAGATGATTTCATTTAGAGGACGTATCTTGCTAATCCTAGAAAGAATCTCAAGAGATATAGTCCCTTTCCCAAATTTTGAGCAGAAGTGCCTTAACATAATGTTTCTTAAATATAATGTTTGTCTCCTCTACATTTGAAAATATTCAGTAGCACAAGAAATTTATTCTTTCTTGTTGATGTCTACGGCACCAACCCATAGCTTATTATTTTCGTATTGCCTTACTGTCATCTGAACTAAATGTCCCTGGCTGTGTTCAGTTGTCCTTAACTTGTACTGACTGGAGGGACACTGGGCCCTTGCTGCCTGGTGACGAGTGGGTACTTGTTAGAGGACATACCTCTCTTAGAAGGAGGGGCACAGATCTCCCCCGTTGTGGTAGATGAGTGACCAGAGCCACTGGGCATGCTAAGTTTCCTTTAGTTTATGAAGATGTGCATTAAATACAGTCTGTGTGCCCACTTAAAGGATAATTTAAGTTTATGAGGTTTTCATTGAGAATTAAAATGCTTATATAACATATAAGATTATATTCTGAAGACTGTGGTTAGTTTTTAAAATAGGAATCCTTAATTTTAGAATTTGGATGCCGTTAAGAGTGTTCATATTCTTTATTTTTTTGCTATTGGTTTTAGTGAGCTAAACATGTAAAAGAACATGCAGAATTCTTTTATTAATTGGATTCCTAAATAACCAAGTTTTAAAATTAAGTGATGTTTCATTAACAATTAGAGATAGCCATTTAATAATGAGTTTCTCTGGAGTTCCCATTTTCAGTTTTATAATTGAGAAGTCAGACTTTTGTGAGATAAACTAAGAGAATGATTAACTGTTTCATGGCAGGCTTTGGAATCCCTCCTGGAAAAGACACTGTCACCAAAAAAGGCAAAGAAATGTTTCAGTGAAATTCAGAGCAGATTTCCTGTTGGTAGCCAAAGGGCCTTAGAGAGATGGCGAAGTACATCACCAAAGAGTGAGAGGAGGCCCTTCGTAGCAAAGGAGATATTTCCACAGGAAACAAGAGGACCTTCAGTGGCAAAGAAGCTTCTTGCTGGTATGTGTCCTAAAGTGTTTATTACAAGATACTTTATTCTTTGAAATTGTCTGGACTGTAACAGTTGCCCCCCTGGGTCAGGATTTAAAGCCTAGTCCACAGTAGGTGCACTTGAACTAGGATAAAGGAATAGCAGCCAAAATGCTTCCTTAGGCTGGAGGCCGGAGTATTTTTCCTTAGAGGGTGGAGAAAGTAAAATTCCCTTTTCCTGCACCATAGCATTTGGGCTAACCAAAGTAAATCCCTGCAGAGCTGAAAGTTAGAAGCCTGCTTTTTTTTTTAAGTTTCTTTATTTACATTTTAACGATAGACATATACATATCTACACAAACACACGTTTGGTTGATACATATGATCTTCTTTTACGTAGGTAATAAATTCTCGTTATTCCAATAAGCAGAGTTGCAAGCTTACGTGGTGTGCACATTTAAACAGATACTGCCAGCTTGCCCTTGAAAATGGGCATGCAATTATGTTTTGTTTAGCAGTGACCATCAGTATGTATTTCCCCATATCCTTGCCAAGTACTTTATATAATGAAATATAAAAAGTTTCCAGTCTCTTGGTGGAAAATGGTACCTTACTGTTTTATATTGTGTTTCCCTGATTCCTAGTCAGGAAGGCTTTTCTTTCATGTGTTCCTTAGCCTTGTTTATTTCCTCTTCTGTGATTTATCTGTTCATATCCTTTGCCATCTCCCTGCTGGGTTCTGTCTTTTGCTTATGGGTATATAGAAGTTCTTTATATATTTTGGATCTTAATCCTTTTCTGGTTTACATGTATTGTAAATATTTTCTCTTAGACACTTACTTTTGAATTTTGTTTATGATATCTTTTCTGGCACAGAAAATTTTATTTTTATTATTTATTTTATTTACTTTTTTCAGCTGTGCCACGAGGCTTGCTCGTGGGATCTTATGATCTTACTTCTCTGACCAGGGATTGACCCTGGACCCTGGCAGTGAAAGCACCAAGTCCTAACCACTGGACTGCCAGGGAATTCCCAGAAATTTTTAATTTTGTAGGCAAAATCATCATTCTTTCCTACATATTTTAATATTTTAAGAGGTAGTTCTTTCCTCTTTGTTGTTGTGCTTTTTCAAAATTTTGCTGATGGTGATTGCTTATCTTCAGAGGAATTTAGAATGAGCTTGTCAAGTTCCATGAAAAGTGCTGTTGGGAGTTCGATTGGTATTACATTGAGTTCATAAATTAATTAGGAGAGGAATGACATCTTTACAATATGATCTATCAATTTATTCATGCCCCTTTTCCATCCCTTCAGTTGAATTTTATAACTTTCTGCATATGATAATCCCTGACGTAGGAATATATAGGAATTCCTAAATTTCTTGTTAGGTTGATTTCCAGTTTTTATTGCTATTGTGAATGGGATCTGTTTTTAAAATTCATTTTGAAATTGGTTATTGCTACTTATAGGAGAGCTGTTGGATTTGTACATTGCTCTTTTATCTGACACCTTGCTGAAATCTTTAATTTGTTATGGTACTGTATTTCATTGGTTCTAAGGTTTACATTTGAACATTTCTGAAATTGGGATGCATTCTTAAATTGATGATACCTTACAATTACTTGACGATATTTTAAAATTTCGTATTGGTACATAAAATAATGATATGTCTTATACTTGATACTTCAGATTTGATGAAATATGAGGTTTTGTTAACTTTTATGTATTTTTCCAGATAGATGAGCTCACTTAAGTTTTGCCTCTCTCTTTGCAATTTTTATACCTCTCTTTTTTCCTCTTTCTGCTTTATTGAATGGATTTTAATTCAGGGTAATATTGAATAATAGCTGTAATGGTGGACATCAACTCCCTGTGCGTGCCCCCCCCCCTTACCAGTTTAAAGGGAATGCTTTTTCATATGTGATGCTGACTATTGATTTTTGGCAAATCTGCATATGAAAGTTAAGGAAATTTTCTTCTGTTCCTGTTTTGCTAAGAGATTTTCTTTTCCTCTTTTTTTTTCCTTCTTAAACTGACATATATACATTGATAGTATTTTAAAATAGTTTTAAGATTTTAATACTGAACTTTTTAATATGCCATTTATATCAGAGTGTGGATGAATCCAATAAACTAGTTTTCCTTCTTTTAATTGAAGTGGAATGTACAGATAGAAAAGTGCACTATAAATTTACAACTCAGTTATCAGAAAACAAACATTTGTGTATGACCACCACCCAAGTCAAGAAATGGAACATCACAAGCACTAAGAAATCCCCCTAGACTCTCCTCTTCCAACCTCCTTCCCCTGCTTCTTCCCCTCTATTAACTATCACTGTGATTTTTAATGCTGTACTTTGGTTTTGCCTGATTTGGAACTTTATAAAAAATAGAATCACACAATTGGTATTTTCTTGTGACTGGCTTCGTCCACTTAACACTTTGTGAGATTCATCTGTTCTGTTTGTGTAGCTGTGATTTGTTTATGTTCATGGCTGTATTCCATTGTACGAATATATGGCCATTTATCTATTCTGTTGTTTTAATCATTGGGTTTTTTCCAGTTTGGGGTGATTATAAGGGAAACTACTGTGATCGTTTTTATATATGTCTCTTGGTACATGTGTGCCTGTGTTTCTGTTGGGTTTATTCCCAGGAGTATATTTGTTAGGTCATCAGGGTATGTATTGGTTCAACTGTAATAAAGAGTTTTTTCAAAGTAGTTTTATCCTTTTATATTCCAACCAACCATGTATCAGAACAGTTGCTACACATCCTTGCCAGCCCTTGTTATTAGTTTTTAAAATTTTGGTGACCTGGTTGATGTGTAAGGCTGTCATTGTGGTTTTAGTTACGTTTTCTGGATGTTTAATGGTGAGTACTTCTTCATATATTTATTGGCCATTTACATGTCTTCTTTTGTGAAGTGCCAGTTCAAGTCTCTTGACCAGTCCTCCCTCCCTCTCTCTCTCTCTCTCTCTCATTTTCTATTCCCTTTTTTCCTTTCTCTCTCTCTCTCCTTTTCTTTATTGATTTGTAGGAGTTCTTTGTAGGAGTATTCTATATAGGACCCTTTCTCAGTTACCTGTGTTGTAAATATCCTCATAGAAATAAGATGTAGCTTGCTTTTAAATGTTCCCGAGGTGTCTTTTGATGGACAGAATTCTTAATTTCACTGTATTCCAATGTAGCAATCTTTTCTGTGTAGGTTCTTTTTGGTTGTTGTTGTTTGTTTTTTGGTTTGTTTCTGGATCCTGTTTAAGAAGCTTTTCCTTATGCCAAAATTAAGAAACTATTTTCCTGTGTTATTTCCTAAAAAAGGTTCATTTTCTTCCAGGTGGATATGTAGTTGAGCTAGCACTCTTTGTTGAAAATATTATTCTTTCCCCACAGTGGCATACAGTGTCACTTTTGTCATAAGTTGTGTCCACATATGTGTGGGTCAGTTTCTGGGTCCTCTTTTCTCTTCCACTGGTTTATTTGTTGGTTCTTATGCTAGTGTACACTATCTTACTTAACTATTCTAAGTCTCGATATCTGGTAGAACAGCTTTTGTACCTGTTCTTCCAGAATGTCTTGGCAAATCTTGACCCTTGGTATTTCCATAGAAATGTTAGGATCAGAATTTGTTAATTTTCATCCCCTCCCCCTCCAACAACAAACAACCTATTGGAATTTTGGTGAGGAATTGTTATCTTTACAATATTATATTTCCCAATCCACCAGCAGGGTATATATCCCTCCATTCATTTAGGTTGTCTTTAAATACTCTCAGTAACTTATAATGTGTGTGTGCGTTTGTTCATCTTTATTTAGAATTATTCCTTGGTATTGCTATTTTCAGTGCTCTCAATGCTTTCAGTAAATGATATCTTTTTAAAAATTTAATTTTTACTGAATATTGTGGATATACAGACATATGGTCAGTTTTGTGTGTTGATCTTATATCTAGGAACCTTGATAACCTAATTTATTTCTAATAATTTATGGGCAGATTATTTGTGTTTTGCAATGTATATAGTCATGTCATCTATGAATATAACCATTGGTTTATTTCCTCCTTTCCAGTCTTTATTCCTTTTATTTCTTTTTCTTCTATGGTTTTCTGGTTTTATTTACTTGATCTGTAGATGACTGATATAAAGTTATGTTAAAGTCTCTTGAGACTTTTAAAATTTCTCTTTGTATTTCTATTCATTTTTGTTTTGTACATTTTGAAGTTGTGCTGTTAGATGCATAAGCGTTCCTTACTGATAAATCTTTTGTGTGTGTGTGTGTGTGTGTGTGTGTGTGTGTGTGTGTGTGTGTGTGATACGCGGGCCTCTCACTGTTGTGGCCTCTCCCGTTGCGGAGCACAGGCTCCGGACGTGCAGGCTCAGCGGCCATGGCTCACGGGCCCAGCCGCTCTGCGGCATGTGGGATCTTCCCGGACCGGGGCACGAACCCGTGTTCCCTGCATCGGCAGGCGGGCTCTCAACAACTGCGCCACCAGGGAAGCCCTGATAAATCTTTTTTCTGTGGATTTTGTATGTTATTATTAAATATCTCTCTTTGCCTTTTTAACGTCATTCGCTTTGGATTCTGTTTTGTTTGATATTAATATTGTTTCATCTACCTAACTTGTTTGGCATTTACCTAGAATAACATTTTCCATCCCTTTATGTTCAGTTTTTCTTCACTGTTTTATTTTAAGAATGTCTCTTATAAATAGTTTATTGTTGGTGTTTTTAACCCTGTTGTAGAGTTCTATATTTAACCTACTTACATTTACTGAGATTAATAGCACCTTTGAACTTCTTTCCACCTTATTTTTTGTTTTCCACTTGCCACTTTTTTTTCTTTGTTGTAATTTATTATGTTAATCAAGTTCTTGTTTCATTTTGTTTCCTCTACTGATTTGAAAGTTATATATCAGTCTGGTTTTCATTTATTTCTCAATCTAAACTAATTCTATGGAAATCTGTAGCTTAATGCACTGCCTCTATCATGAATGTAACAAAACCTAACTTACTCAGTTACTATTAGATGTTTACTCACTGTAATGTGGTATTCTGTTCCCTTCACTGGTAGACAGGTAGAACTAGTATGACGCCTTCTTTCTAACCAGAAGGCTGCCTTTGCCAGCCTTTCCCTCAGGACAGGTGTGACGTGTATTTGCCGCTGTATCCTCTGTGGTAGCCCCAAGGCCAACACACAGTTAGGCATTTAAATGAGTGACTGTGAAGAAGTGAAATAGAACAAGAAAAGGCCTCTGAGCTGCAAATCACAGTAACCTGAGATCTGGGTGCTCCTTTATGATCCTCTGGAGGGAATGTGGTGAACTTTCCAGGCCTGCACACAGAGATATGTTCCCTAAATGAGTTAAAAGATGAGAGGCGCCCATAACTGAGTTGTGAAAGATGAGGACCAGATTCAGAGAGAGAAGTTGGGAAACCTGCTAATATAAAACTCACTGTATGTAGGCACCAATGTGGGAAAGCAGGAAGACAGACCACAGTGTGAAAAACAGGGACCAGAAAGACCTCACTGTAGTCCCAGCTCCGCCAGTTTGTGATCCTGGGTTGATGACTTAATCTCTCTGAACCTTCATTTTTTCATCTGTGAGTGGGGATAATACAGGCATACCTTATTTTTTTGTGCTTCACTTTATTGTGCTTCACAGATACTGTGATTTTACAAATTGAAGGTTTGTGGCAACCCTGCATTGTCAGGTGATGGTTAGCATTTTTTAGTGATACAGTATTTTTTAATTAAGGTGTATACATTTTTTAAAGACATAAGGCTATTGCACACTTAATCGACTACATACTACATAGTGTAAACGTAACTTTTATATGCACTGGGAAACCAAAACATTTGTGTGGCTCGCTTTATTGTGATATTTGCTCTATTTTGGTGGTCTGGAACCGAACCTGCAAGATCTCTCAGGTACGCCTGTGGTCCTTATCCGATGTAACTGACTTAGTTGTTGTAAGTAGCAAATTAGATAATTCATCAAGAATTAAGTGAGCTTCAGTTATCTGGAAAATGTGTTTATGTGGAACAGCTCCGTAGTTCCTGACAGGGCAGAATGAATGGGCCTTGCCCTGGACTGAGAGTCAGAAGATGTGACTCTGCTGCTTGCTGACCTTGTGACCATGAGTAAAGCACTTAACTGTTACTTCCTCATCTGAAACACTATAGTAATCATTGCCCCACCTGCTCTGTGTGTCATGGTGAGCCTCAAATATGAATGTGAATTATGTTAGATACTGAAAATGTATGCAGATGTCAGGGCAGATCATAAAATCACTGTCGTTATCATCATTACAAATTGAGGTATTATGGTTAGCTGCTTTGCAAATTTAATACAGTTGCTCATGGGGAAGGATATGGTAGCCCTCTTATTTATTTTATTGGTATTTTTTTGGTCTTTATAATCTGGATTTCAGAAGGTTGCAGTTTCTGTTTCTGTTTTAGATCTCACTCTACCTAATACCTCCATTCTGAGTTCCTAAGGTCCCTTCTTCCCAACGCCCCCCCCCCCCAAAAGTCATAGGGAGCCACTTGGGTGGAAAACCCCATCTTTTCAGTTGGGATATATGTGTGAGCCTGACTTGATCTTGTGATTTATATAATTGTTGGCTGGCGCGTTTCTTTAGTGGCTTCTGAAATGTTCTTGCAGTGGTTGATTGCATTAGTATAACTTGTCAGATGTAAGGATGCTGGTTCCCTCCCCATCACCAGCAATGTCCTCAAACTCAGCTGCCCCTGGAACTTGTACTACATTTGCAGTTGATTTATGCAAGTCAGAACTGAAAAGGCATCAGGACCTAGAGGTCAGAGTTGCCTTGCTATATGTAAACTTGGGGATTAATAAGTTTTAGACTGAGGATTTAGTCTAAGCATTCTTTCCTTCCAATTTATGTATCCTTGCAGCATAACTTCCATGACCTTGAAAAGTACCAGATTAAAAAAGTGGTGCAAGGAGCATCTGGCCTTTGGCCAGATTAAAGTAGTCTAAATGTAGTTTAGACTACTCTTAAAGTAGTTAAAGTAGTCTAAATGTAGTTTTCCTTTTATTATGAAATATTTAAAATATATAGAAAAAGAATGAAAATAATAAATACCTATATATCTACTAGCCAGATTTAACAAACTTTAACATTTTTGTTTTATTTGCTTCAGAATTTTTTTTGGAAATAAAATATGACAGCTACAGCTGAAGTGCCTTTTATATTTCTCTCCCCATTCTATACCCCTCCCTCCCTCCCTCACCAGAGGTTACTCTTGTTATTATAATATGGACCTGCCCTGTTTTTATACTTGTACTGCTTATGTCTCTATCCATAAACACTATAAAGTATTGTTTCATATGCTATACGTTTCATGTCAGTGATATCTTACAAATGCAACATTTGCAGTTTGCTTTCCCCTCCACTTACGTTTGTAAGACTTGTTCATATTTATACATGAATTCTAATTTATTAATTCAACCACTGGATAGGTTTCCCTTGTATGAATATACCATAGTTTATTCTCAGTTCTTATTGATGGACATTTGGGTCGTTTCCACTTTTTTGCTGTTATAAACACTGATGAAGTGAATATCTGTGTTCATGTCTTCCTGTGTAAGCGTGAGGGTTCCTCTAGGCTGAGTCTGTGCCCAGGAGTGAAACTGCTGGGTGACAGTGTGGGTGAGGCTTCAAGTAGCTGTGCCAGTTTACTCCTGCACTAGTAGCTTGTGAGAGCACTTGTTTTTCTACATCCTTGTTTATACGTGGTATTGTCACACTAAAAATTACCCCCTAATCCGATGGGTGTGAAATGGTACCTCATTGTCTTAATTTCAGTTTTTCTGATTAGTGATGATCATCTTTTCATGTTTTTATTGACGGTTCAGATTTTCTCTCTCAATTGCCGTTTTCTATCCTTTGCCTGTTTCTCTGTTGGATTGTTGGGTTTTCCTACAGATTCATAGGCGTTCTTTACATATTCTGTATATTAAGCTTATATTAGTTATATGCATTACAGAGATGTACTTCCAGACTCTGGCTTGTCTGTGACTTTATGGTGTCTTTTTGTCAAAAGGAAGTTGTAGTTTCATGTAATTAAGTTTAAATATGTTAACCTTATTTGACTTTAAGAAAGCCTTTTCTGCCCTGATGTCATAATCATATTCTCCTATATTTTCTTCTAAAATCTTTAAAGTTTTCCTTTCACATTTAGGGCTTTGTTCCATTTATAATATAAGCGTTCAGTTTGAGGAAAGGATCCTCACGCTGAACAGTTAAATTTTTATTTTGTTACCTGTGGATACTAATAATTTCAGCACTATTTATTGAACAATCCAGTTCATATTCACTGATTTGTCATACTGCCTTGGTCATATCCATCCTGCTTCATTGGTTTCTGCCTCTTCCTGTATCACTCCCACACTGCCTTCATTATTACAGCTTTATCACGAACACTTGATCTCTGGGAAAATAAGACTCCCACCTCTGCCCTATTCCCCACTTTTTTGTTCTTCAGAATTATTTGGGCTATCTTGGGATTTACACTTCATAAGAATTTTAGCATTAACCTGTTTAGATCCCCAGAAAAATCTGTTGGGATTTTAATTGAACTTGCATTTGAAATTGTAGATCACTTTGAGGAGAATTGACAGCTTTACAGTATTTTTTCATTCATGAATACAGTTAATCCAAATTTTCTTTCATGTCCTTTAAAATACCTTTGAATATTTTCTGTAAAAGTCTTGTACACCTTTCATTAGATTTCTTCCTTAGTGTCTTACAGTTTAGTTGCTAATGTTAATGGCGTATTTTTTCTTTTATGTTTTCTCTAATTAGTTATTTTGATGTGTGGGAATGATATTGACTTTTGTATATTTTTCTTCTTTTATCCAGAAACCTTGCTGAACTCTGTTCTTAGTTGTAATTGCTTATCTGTAGATTCTCTTGGATTTTTTTTTCTATGTAGGAAATATCTCATCTTCAAATAAAGACAGTTTTACTTTCTTTTCCACTGCAGGTTATATGTCATGTATGGAGTTCAGACTTTATTCTCTATCAACTTAGGAGCCATTGAAGGTTTTGAGAAGTGATATTTAAATATTTACATTGACAAAAATAATTATGGTAGCCAGGAGAAGGTGTGATTGAAGATAAAGAAGGGGTCAGTTAGAAGATGCTGTTGTTACAGCCACAGGATATTGCAAGCCTGACCTTGGGTAGTGGCACAAGGGAAGGAAGGATAAGACATATTTAAGAATTGGGATCTGAGGGAGCGGGTGAATAAGTAAATGTGGGAGGTGAGATTCAGGGAGTCAGCCATGGCACTTAGGTTTCTGCTTGTAGAACTGCAGTAGGAGTCATAGGATTAGGAGCAACTTGGACAGCAAAACACCTCAGTTTTTAACAGGGTATTATTGTGAGCTTATCTGTCTCTAGATAATCACTCTCACTTGATTTGAACAGCATTTCCCTCAATTTGTCCTTCTGAAATCTCCATGCAGATAAGTATCAACCTGATATAGAGCTTCCAGTGACCCAGAGGTTGGAAAACGAGCTTGATGTATTAGATGCGGATATCCTTCCGGAAGAAGCTCCATCTGTTGTAGACCAAAATGCGAACTTCAAAGAAGAGGCATTAGCCCTGGCAAAAACAAGAGCAGGGAAAAAGAAGCTTGTGACTGAGAATGTGCCACCCTTTAGGAAGAAAGATACTGTGGCACCGGCAAGACTACAGCAAGTATGAAATCACTCCTTTCTTCTGGCCCATTTGTATTAATCTGACATTGTCCAAGGTCACACAGGCTGGTAAGAGGTGGAGCTAGGATTTGAGTTCTCAGGCCTTTGAATGCCAGAGCCCTTGAGTCCAACTATCTAAACTAAGCTTAGCTCCAGGTCATTTTTATCTTTTAACAAAAAACAACAAGTTTTAATACTGTTACTAAGGGCAGGGCATTCTTTCTTGTCCTGGTTTAATTAGAGCCTAACTGTTTTGACACCAAGGTCTTCACTGGGTAGGCTATTTTAAAATTCAGATTTTTTCTGCTTCTGATTTGGAAGTGTGAAATTTGAGGGGATTAAGATTTCCTGCTAAAGATAAATATCGATAAATATTTGATATTGAAAGGCATCTTAGGGTGAGTACTTTCTAATATGGCTTTGGGAGCCAGCTGGCTTGAAAGTACATTATATTTTAAGCTTCTATCTAAAAGTTAACTTAAGGCCCTACCAGTGGAGAACTGGCCACAAGACCACCTCCTAGTCTAAATACCCTTAATGTAGTTACTCCCATCTGATGGGTTGTCCAGAGGCTTATGTAGCAAACCTGCATATTGTCAGGTGACCCCAGAAAAAGGATATTGGCAATTATCACCTGTTACTGATAGATCATGGATTAAGATCGTCTTTATTCCTTTTCAAACAAACTCTTAAGGGGGATCATTGGGAAATCAGGATTCAGCCTGTGTAAATTCAGCCTGGTGCTCTCCTCCGAGGCAGCCTCATCCTCTACAGTGTTTTACAGTAGCCATTCTGTTTAGATGGCGTGTGCCTTTCTGCCTCCACCATTGTGCTCCTCCTCCATTAGCCCTTTTAATCTTCTAGAAATTCGTGAACACATTAGCTCCCATTTTACAGATGGGAAGCCTAAGACTCAGAGATGCGTTTTAACCAAGAATGTTTTACAATTTACCTCTTTTGTTTAGTTAGGAAAAATTATTTTTAAAAAAATTTTATATATATATATATATATATATATATATATATATATATATATATAAAGACGGCCAAGCCAGGGATTCCAGTTTTATGCCTCCACCCCTCTCCCCACAACCAAAGTTGTTTCAGTGTAATTTGTACCCTCCCCAAATTTCTGCTACAGTGCTTTCCACTTAGGTTTTTGCTGAATGGGTGTATGAACATCATAGGGCCATTTGAAGCTTCAGTAAGCCAGAGGTTACAGCCAGTTTCTTTGATATACGTTTGGCTTTATAATTCATAGTTATCTCTTGCAGGGACTCCACAAAGCTGAAAAAAGTAGACCACCCCAATCTTACAGCAAAAGCAGGTTGCAACGGACAACAGTCTCCTCCAGGTTAAAAATGAACCAGCAGCCTGTGAAGGACCATAAGGCTCCTTGGATACCTCCAAACCCCACATCCCCACTGGCATCTCCTAAATGGTATGTAAAAATTCACGGAACCATTTGGGTATTTGACTTTATTTTCCTCCACAGATCAAAGGCGACCTACTCCTTAGAGCAAATAAAGCAGCATCCTTAGTTCCCATTAAGGAGAAAAGCTTATTTGGATGAGTAATATATACATGAGACATTTTTTGCTAGAAGCCTATTGGTTCCTCTTTCCTACCTGGCTATGGGTAGAGTAACTCCCACGGGTCACCCCAATACCCTGTGGACATGTTCACCGTATGGAGGATCATGGGCTGCCCTTCACTTGTCTCTTCACCCAGTGGATCCTAGTTACTTGAGGCCAGGAACTGTGCCTTCCTTATATCTGAATGTACAGTGCCTGATAGTAGACATCTAGTAAATCTTTGCTGAATGAATGAATATTTAAAAATAATTCCTATTCCAAGTCAAGACAATATGGATTATAAAACCATGCAAATCTCATAGGCACTGTCCTGACCGCAGGGGACAGTTAGGATAATGCTGACGTTACTGCCTTGTCACCCTCACTCATAGCACATGGAGAATGAGGACCTGCCATTCCACGGAGCTGGGGAGAAGGCATTGTCCTTCAGGGGCTGCAGAGTCCAGTTAAGTGGAAGTAGTCTTTGGGGCATTGGTTAAAAGTGAAGGGGAGGACTTCCCTGGTGGTGCAGTGGTTAAGAATCCGCCTGCCAATGCAGGGGACACGGGTTCGAGCCCTGGTCAGGGAAGATCCCACATGCCGCGGAACAACTAAGCCTATGCGCCACAACTACTGAAGCCTGCACTCAAGAGCCCGCGAGCCACAACTACTGAGCCCATGTGCCACAACTACTGAAGCCCGCACGCCTAGAGCCCGTGCTCCGCAACAAGAGAAGCCACCTCAACAAGAAGCCTGCGCACTACAATGAAGAGTAGCCCCCACTTGCCACAACTAGAGCAAGCCCGTGCGTAGCAACGAAGACCCAATGCAGCCAAAAATAAATACATAAATTTATAGAATATATATATAGAAAAAAAAAATTAAAAGTGAAGGGGAGCGTGTATACTGTGGGACAGTGGTTCTCAAAAGCACAATGGAAAGGGCCAGGAGGTAGGACAGTAAAAGGAAAGCAGCCAAAAGTAGTAATGGGGGGAGGAGAACAAGTGAGAAGATAGGTGACTTGAAGGGTTCAGCTTTTAAGAGGCGGGCAGGAGACACGGTGAGAAGCCTGGTGGGATGGAGTCCCCGAAGACTCTGAATGACTGTGAACGGATGGTTATGCTTATTCCTCGACTCTCACTTTAAAGCTGAAGAAACAGTGTCCAGCGAATCTAATGTCTTGCTTATAAGCAGAGCTGGGACTAAAATCAGGTCTTCTGATTTCACAGTGCATGTGCTTTTTTGCTTTTATTTCTCTGTTCTAAATTCTTTGTTTTTGGGGAATTCCCTGGCAGTCCAGTGGTTAGGACTCCGTGCTTCCACTGCAGGGGGCATGGGTTCGATCCCTGGTTGGGGAACTAGGATCTCGCATGCCACCCAACGTGGCAAAAAAAAAAAAAAAATCTGTATTTTTATATACGTGTTAGTATAGAGATGTGAATTCAGTTGTAAGCTCATAAAAACAGCAGTTGGTTGGAGTTTATATTGCAAACCAAATATACAGTGGACTGTCCTCTAGAGTGTATGTGTGGTCGGTGGGGGAGGGGAGGGCATAAGGCTTACGGGCTCAAAGTGCTGTATTAGGCCTTATAAAGGCACAAAGTTGCTATGTAATGTGGAATGTAATCAGTGACCCAAATCTATATATTAAAACAGGGTTCTGTTGAGGTTCACCCATTATTCTGTAATGGACAGTTGTTTTTTCATTTACAATAGTGATTGCTTCTATGAAGCAAAGGAGGACTTCTCTCCTTTGACACTGAGCCTGAACCCTGGAGGATCTCACTCTGCTTTACATTCAGTTTCCAATTCAGAGCCCCATCCTGTAGATCACCATTAATTTAACGCTCTTGTCTTTTCTGAGCTGGCACCTTTTACGAGTCATTGGATGTGGAGTGAACGATTACAAAGGCATAGTTTTCCATTTTTTTGCAGTGCTGCCTGGCTAAAGGTGAAATCTAGCCCCAAAGATGCCGCAAAAGAACAGTCTCTCCAGAAAGAAGATACTCAAGAGGAAAGTCAGTTGAGAGGTGCTGTTGAGCACGAAGCAGTGAGGTTTGTCCTGGCGTTCGTCAAGTCTTTGAAAAGTAAAGGCCCCCTTTCACGAGGATTGTAAAGCGAACTCTTCTCTTTCCCATGTATAAAGTTGGCTATTTAAAATGGAAATCACTAAACTTTTCTGTCAAATTATGCAGCTCAGACAGTGAACCCCTTTTTTATTCCTTGTCTAATTCATTCAAAAATTATGTATGTGTCAGTTGTCTACCAATTGCTTGTTTTGTATGTGGTACAGTTGTGAGCTCTCTGGAGACTTTTAAAAAGGGGGGCAAAAAGGACAGAATCCCAGCCGCTGCTTAGTAGAGAGGACATATCACTGACTATAATTTAAGATAGAACATCGTATGTCCCCTGAGAACTGAAGAGTTAAGAGCTGAGAGAGTTCAGAACGAGGACAGGACACCTCTGCAGAGATCTATGCTTTGTGGAGGGAGATGGAAAATCAATTAGGACTTAAAGAATAGGCTTTAAATAGGGGGTGATGAGGTGAGGCCATTCCATGACAAGAGAGCAGTGAAAACAGGTTGCTCTGCATTCATTTGCCTGGAATTGTTCTTGCAATTATAGGGAAGCCAAAGCGAAAGTGGACCATTAGATAATTTGGTACTATTCACGTACCCTAAACTGAAAGCATCAAGCCCTAACACATACAGTAAGGTTGTTCCGAGTCAGCTTTTCCTTTCTGTTTTTATTTGACTTTTCTCTGCCTTTAGGGCTCTCCTGGGAGCCCATTTCTTTGAGCTGGAAGATACAGGAACAGCTTTGTTTTACAGCTGAGCAATAAGTCCTAACTGCAGCAATGGCTAGTTTTCTCGAGAATATTCGTGGGTATTTCTTTTTTGTGGCTCTGCACACTCACTAGGAGTGCTCTTGCGGGTGAATGTCTTTTTACATGAAACGTTACACGGAGAGCTTTACTGGCCCAGAGGCTGCGTTACCTCCTGAGTCTTTAATGGGGCCAGGATTGGTGCTCTGGGGGATCCTGACTCCTGGTCTCTTTATGTGGTAATGCTACCTGCAGGTCAAGGCAGAATTGGTCTGAGTCTTTTGTACTGTCTGCTAGACTCACTTGGCTTGATGCTGAAATTTCCAAAAGATTAAAGGAATTAGAAGAATTAAAAGCTGAAGAAATGGACAAAATGCAAAAACAGAGGTAACTATGTTTCTGAGGTAGAGAAAAACCAAAGCAGCAGGGCTGTTCTACATCATCTAGTCATTTTCACAACTAGTTGAGATTGTTGAGTGGTGTAGTCACACTTCTCATGTTTATTGACCATCTGCCTGCTTAAAGTACTTCGAAGTCACCTAAGAAGCCAAAAGTGGAGCCCAGACTGGAGCCCCAGGGAGTCCTGGCTGGTTTGAGGAGAGTTAGGGTGACTCTGATACCATTCTCTAGGCTCAATTGGCTTGATGCTGAAACTTCCAGAAGAACAAAGGAATTGAATGAACTCAAAACTGAAGAAATGGATAGACTTCAAAAACTGAGGTATGGGACTTTCCTGGTGGCGCAGTGGTTAAGAATCCTCCTGCCAATGCAGGGGACACGGGTTCGAGCCCTGGTCCAGGAAGATCCCACATGCCGCAGAGCAACTAAGCCTGTGCGCCACAACTACTGAGCCTGTGCTCTAGAGCCTGCGAGCCACAACTACTGAAGCCTGCGCGCCTAGAGCCCGTGCTCTGCAACAAGAGAAGCCACCACAATGAGAAGCCCATCCACCGCAATGAAGAGTAGCCCCTGCTCGCCGCAACTAGAGAAAGCCCACGCGCAGCAACAAAGACCCAACACAGCCATAAATAAGTAAATAGATAGATCGATTAATTAATTAATAGGGGGAAAAAAACTGAGGTATGTGTTTGCTTCTGAGGAAGGACAGTGAATGCTTGCCTGTTCTTGCCTTGGTCTAGGTAGTTTCACCACCAAGCTGGACCATTTGGGCCTAAGCTCACTAAGTGAATGAATGAATGAATATCTGCATGCCTACGTGTATTTTACAGTATTTTTGCTAGGAATTATTTCTTTTGTGTGGAGTTTGAGTGATATGCTATCTATAGTTTCAGAGGAGTTTAATCTGAAAGATCAGTATTATATCTATTTGTTTGTACTGCACTCAGAGGTGCTTTTCTCCTGGCTTGGTAGGGTAGGAGGTTGACATGCAATCTGCTCTTGTGAGTGGCTGTGTGGATACTTTTGCTTCACATGTTAGCTTGAGTGCAGCCTAAGGTTTTTGAATTAGTTTGCTTTTCCCATTTGCCCCCAAGAGTGTTACCACCTAACTACGGGCACAAAGAAGTTCATGAGAAGGTTTAGTTGATACTACTGCAGTTGGCTCATTTTTCTAGCTCTGATAATGATTCACCCTGAAGTCACAGGAACAGAATTCTCGTTGACACAGCTGTGCATGCTGTCACTGGTCATGATAGAATGCTCACTCCCAGGCTGGAAGGGCTGTGGCTCTTGCTTTAGAGGGTGAGCACTGTGAACCACCACCCCAAACCAAGAGATAGGTCAGCACCCCTGCTCTCAAACTCCCTGTGAGTCCCTCTTCAGTTGCATCCCCTTCTTTCTCCCCAGAGTTCACCACTGTCCTGATTCCTGTGTTAATCTTTTCATTACCCTTATTCATAAATCTGTTATATAAGCGTGTATCGCTAGCCATATATTGTTCATCCTGACAGCTGAGAAGCAAGCCCAAACCTAGCTAAACAAGGAGAAGGCCACGCTGCTGGTAGTAGATGAAGATTCCCAGGGAAAGTAGGCTGCACAGAGTCCATCCTGCACTTCCCTAGGAGTTTTTAGGTGCCCATCCTGGGAAGTTAATGGGCAAGGTCATGAATGAGTCCTTGCAAATGTAGGGCTTACCCCATTTGGGGCATCTGGAAGTGAACCAAGTGCAGTGGACTTCTGGAAGAAGCCTGGTCAGGGGGACAGCGGGCTGCCTTGCATAGTTTTCTGTTTTATTGCCAAGAAGTATTCTATTGCATGACTGTCCCACAGTCTGTTTATCCATCCTCCTGTGAATTAACCTTTGGGGTATTTTCCATTTTTAGTTAGTATGGGAGTTACTTTCTAGTTTTTCCACATCCTAGCTGACATTTGGTAATGTCTGGGGTTTTTTGTTTTATTGTTTTTTAATTTTAGCCATTCTGGTGAGAGTGTGGTGGTATCTTGTTGGGATTTTAATTTGTATTTTCTTGAAGTCTAATGATGATGAGCATCTGTTTTAGTGCTTATTGTCATGTGTCTGTTCAAGTCTTTTGCCCATTTTTTATCATTTTTTTAATTACTGATTTTTAAGAGTTTTAAAATATATTTTCTGGATTTGAGGCCCTTTTCAGAATATGTACAGCAGATATTTTCTCACAATACTGTGGCTTGCCTATATATTTTCTTAATGGGGTCTTTTGATGACTAGAAGTTTTAAATTCTGATTAAGATCAGCTTATCAATTTTTTCATTTTACAGTCTCTTTTGTGAAACAAGTAATCATTGCCAATGCTGACATCTCAAAGATAGTCTGTGTTTTCTTCTAAATGCTTTATAGTTTTAGGTTTTATTTTTATGTCTGGAATCCATTTTTTATTAATTTCTGTGCATGAGATGAGATGCTGACGCAAGTTCGTTGTTTTCCTTACGGATATCTGGCTATTCTAGCACCATCTGATGGAAGGATTATTGACCTTGAGCTTTACTCTAGGGTCATCTGGGTGGACTGTTGGCTAAGGACCCTCATGTGGGTCTTTAGGTCTTTCCTTTGGGGTAGGTCAAACTATCCAGAGATGAGTCTTTTGATCTTCTGCCTGGAGGGTGAGGACCTGATGCCAGTGTCCTAGGAGCTGAGCTGGGCAGGAGGGTGGTGAGTCTTACCACTTGGCATTCAGCTCACGTACATGAACCCCCTCTTTTCAGTAGGGCACCTCCTGTCTCAATGTAATTGGCATCCCCTAGTCAAGAGGCCCCTCCAGAGAATGAGCAACCAGACTTCCCTCAGAGCTGGAGAGAGGCAGTGGTCCAGTTGTGCGAAGGAGGGAAAGGGACCTCGGGATCTAACTTCTCAAACATCATTTGACTCTTGTCTTTTATAGTTAAGCCACCGCCTCCCAGCTCACCCCCAGGCCTAGGCATACCTGGTGCTACCAGTCTTGGGCCTCTTTAAGTCAGCAGTACAAATTGTGTAAGTTCTCAGGTTTCCCCATTATGACCCTAGAATTCAGCTTTCTCAGGCCAGTAAGTTACTTACCACTTTTGTCCTTCTGCTTCCAGCACCATTTTCCCCCCTTGTCTTTGTGAGTTTATGTCTAATTGTGTTACTGTCGGGCTTGGAAGGGAACAAAATTGGTTTCATTTGTTGAGTCTTCTGCCCTCAGAAGAAAAATGGCTGTTTCAAGGCAGCCATTATTCTTTCAAAATGGATTCAGAGCCTAATATACTTCTTCAGATGTTATCTCAGCCCTTGTCCTCAAAGTTAGGTTCACGACCAGCATTATTGCATCACCTGAAAGCTTGTTGGAAGTGCAGACTCTCAGGCCTCCCTCAGACCAAGTGAATCAGAATCTGCATTTAACAAGATCCCCAGGGATTTCATATGGCCATGAAAATTAGAGGCCCTACAGTTTTTATAATCATTTGGTTTCCCTTCGGCTGGGGTGGTAAATAAATATGCACAATAGGATATTTTCTTGCTTTTGATTTTAATTTTCAGTTTTATTTCTAAATAGTGTTTCTGCCACCCAATTAGCGGATAAGGTAGAGAAGGCAGTTCTGGAGCGTTTGAAGCCTCTCCTGGTCAAGGCCCAGGTAATCTAGTTCATCCCGTGTGCCTGCCTTTTGGAAGTTTCAAATAAAAAGAGTTGCTCCAGAGGTCACACTGAGCCTTTGCAGGGCTGAGTGTCTGGCAGCTGGAAGCTGCGGTGCTGCTCCGTGCTTCATAGCATGCGTGCAACGCTGCTGGGGCCCCTTTGGGGCACCCACATTGTTGATGTGTCTTCCATTGTGAGGAAGGGAACAAGATGGGGGAAAAGAAAGTACCACTTTTGAGAAAGGTGAGATTTTAGTTTGGGGAATGAGTTTCTATTGCAATTTACATTCTTAATCAAATAGAGCTATTGGTGGTGTTAGTGTTCCGTTCACTGCTTCCACTCTAATCCCATCACTGCTCTTTCACCTCAGTGATTTGGAATGATTTGCTCTATTTTTCCCAAGGAGAGAGATGTTAGGACAGCTTTCTGTGCACAAACCGGTACTTTCTTCAAGATGAAATTGCATAGAGCCTCACCAGTAGGTTGTGCCATCCTCCTGTGAGCGGTGAGCTGAAGGCTACGGCCAGACCCTCTAGATCCACCCCGTAAATGGAAATAATCTTGTTTGTGTGAGTAGATGAGGCCACAGAAGAGCACTAGAATCTTAAATAGAATGAAGGACATTCTGGGACCCTGAACAGACCACTGAACTTCTGTATCTCTTGGTCTAAGAAATGTTAAATCATTTTTAGAGTCCATGGAAATCTCAGGACTATAGAACTGGGAGGGTTCTTAGTGGCCAAACCGTCCAACCTCCTTATGTTATCAGTGAGGAAACTGTGGAACAGAGAAGTTGAGTAATTGCACAGCTACTCTGACAGTGTTTACAAAGTTGAGGGAAGACAAGGGGCAGAAAGCCAAGATCAGCACATGGCATTTATTTTCATGAAGACAGAGTGCTTTGAATTCCCGCAAAAAGCCTGATATAGCTAAAGCTGATGAACAGTTCCACACAGAAGTTATTCTGGGAGCAAAATCCATTTGTACTAATATGGGTTGTAAATGTTCATCATTCATGAGCATGCTTGTCTGTTTTAATAGAGAGTCAATTCTTCTGTGGAAGCAGATACTCGTTTGAAGGATCGACTGTCAGTGATCGCAGCAACAGCCCAGCCTGCGGAGAAGGTGTGTGTTGTGTGGGGCTGGCATTCTGGCCTGACACTGGTATTATTGCATGATAATGTCCTGGGTTGTAAGGAAAACTGATAGGCGGATTACCCTGCAAACACTAGACTATCCCGCTGCAGAGGGTGGAGGTTGTTTTTCATATTTGGCATATTCATTCTTACAGTGTATATTTAGCATTATGACTTAGATGAGCCTTGCAGACAGCTCACAGAAATCTCTAGAGCCACAGGTTTTTGTCAGCGTCTTTTTCCTTTCCTCCTGATGACAGAATGTGGGTAGACTGCGTGACCCTGAATGTTGATGGCCTGCGGCAGAAGAATGGCTGCCCTCATTTCCTCTGATTCAGCCTACTTTTGCTCATTACTGGCCTAATTTCCTTTATACTGAGGGCCTAATACTTCTTGTTAAGCAAGCATGTTTTGAGTGCCTAATAATGACCAGTACCTGGCCTGGCAGAGAGAAGAGGTGGCTCAGGAGCAAATGATAACATTTGAGAAGAATGGAAACATATCTTGTGGTTGGCCACCCTCGTGCTCTTCCTCCGGAGGACTTGTGTTCAGCATCTGTGGGAATGTTCCCACCCTGCCTAGGCGTAGGGACGGGGAGGTGCAGGCTGCCTCTAGTGGGTCTTTGTGGAGGTTGGAAAGAAGTTACTGCTTTACATGCTCAAAGCAAGTAAAGGGCAGAGCAAGGGTGAAGGTCTCAGAGTTAGAAGGAAGTTGGAATGAAGTTCCACCAGCCCAACCTTAGGAACGGGAAGAAAGGAGATTTTGAGAATGTATCCCTGTTCTAATTTATTAAGCAATAGTTTAGTTTTGGTGTATTTTCATAATTTCTGCAATTGTAATTTTATTGTACCAATATTTTGTGACAGAATCTCACGTGAGGTGAGGCTTCTGAGACCGGAAGCTGAAAGCCTACCTCTGACTCGTACAGACTGGGCATGCTATGGCTGGATGCTTTGTGCATCAGAGCCGCCAAATACCTTTTTCCCTAGCAAAAAATGAGACTAGCCGCTCATCTATCGAGGCAGCTCCATAAGGCATATTAATATGACAGAAATATGAAGTGGCCATAAATGCTGTCAGTGAAGTAGACATGTTTGAATATCATTAGAAATGATCATTCTTATATATAAGAATCATTCTGTAGGCATTAAATGGGCTTTAATACAATTTCTTGAAATAGAAAAGTAACTCTATCCAGTATTCAGTGTTCTGGGCTGCTGTTACACAGCATTGCTGCACAGAATTTCCCAGGCAGCACCGTCAACAGTCAGTTTTTATAAATAACTGAATAAAAACCAACTCATTGAAGTTGGCATGATGAAGTAAAAAGAGTTATTTTGCTGTGTTAACTTATAAAAGAGCTGTGGGACCTTGAACACATATTCCCAGAGTTCTCATCTCTCAAATGGAGAAGACGTTTGCTGCGCTTTGCAAGTAAACTGAAGCTCTCGGTAGTTTTCTTGCAGACAAGACGATCCCTGGTATCAGGAAAAAGGTTTTGGAAGGATGCCATCATAACGTGTTTGTCTCCTGCTGCTGCTGCCGCCACTAACTGAACTTGTGTGTGAAATGCACTTTCCCAAAGTGTGGTTTTTTAAATTAAAAGTTGTATATGCACGTGGCTAAAAATGCAAACGATTCAGAAAAAGTGTAATGTAAAAAGTAAAAGCCCCCCACAAACGGATACCATATGCTCCTCTGTATCCAGCTTCTTCCTTTATATTTTGGTGATCTTTCCATACCAGCATATTGGGACCTTATCTCTCATCTCGTAGTATTCTTGATATTCAATTCTTTAAATATTAAGAATGAAAATACAAATAAACACATCTTAACCAGACCTGTATTATTGGTTTAGTTGTCTCTAGATTTTTTTGTTAATTTTATTGTATTGGTTATTCAACTGATATTCATTTCTTTAACTTTGGTTAAGGTTGAGCATTTCTTTATATCTTGATTGGCCATTAATATATTTTCTTCTGTGAACCGTTGATTAAAAGGTTTTAAAAATTACTATGGCGGTAACTGTTCTTCGTGCCAACCATTGTAAGTGTTCCAATGTGAAAATGCTCATGTAATCCTTGCAACTCTGAAATATAGGATTATTATTTCCATGTTACAGACCAGAAGGTTGAGGCCCAGAGAGGTTAAGTAAACTTGCCCACACTTGGAGGCATACCAGTAGGCAGAACCAAGATTTAGTCCCAGGAATGTCTCATTCCAGAGCCTGATATGATTATTCTCCCAGCAGACATTCTTTGTAAAAGCCTCTTTCAGAGCAGATTATAGACATACATTAGAATCAAAAGAAATAACAACACATATAAAAATGCTTTGCAAGCTGTAAAGTGAATGTAAAGAATACAAGGTCAAGAAAGGCTGGTAAAAGCTCTTCCAGGTTACAGGTAGAAAGTCTCAAGCAAAGACAAGAATCATGAACTTTTGTGATGTCATGAACAGATGTTTTTACAAAGCACTGAACCAAAAAGAGAATACTGTAGGTATGTCCTCTGTAGTATGTGACATGTGAAATATTGGACATTCTTCTGAGTATAGCACAAGGAATATATTTGCTTTACCAAGTGGCAAAACAGGTAATAAAGATAATTCCCATGGACAGTAATGGTACTCCTCAGTTGATGTTACTGTTTAAATGACTGTGGTAGAAATTGTACTGATGTCATTTCTCTTGACGTTTACGGACTTAGGAGAGGTTAGATTTAGTGTAGAAACTGCGTGTTGGATCACTGCGTGGTTGGTTTATCATGATTAGCATTAATCTTTAAGATCTCCGTTATTTTTGTATCGCCTCTCCATCCCCTTCCCTTGTTTTGCAGGCTACAGCTGTTGATTGTGAATCCAGTAGCATTCAGCAGCTGGATGATTTTTTGGAAGATGCCGCTCATGAGCTCTGGGCTGTGACTCACTCTAAGATCTCGGAGCCTGAGGCCTTAGCCACCTGGGGGGGCAGCAATGACAGCCCATGTCTGGAGGCCATGATGCTCCGCATGGAGGAAATGGAGGTAAGGCCGGGACTGCCAGCTCTGGTCGGCGGCTGGCTGCTGACTTCTGCCGAGCGCCGCTTCTCCTCATGGCTCTGTAGCTTAGAACTTCAGAGTCACCTGGTCCTGAGTTTACATCCCAGCTCGACTGCCAGCCCAGTGTACGGCCTTGGTAAAGTCCTGTACCCTCTCTAATAAGTAGGGTGCTTTTAAGGACAAAATGAGGTATGAAGTATCAGCACCCTACCTGACACATAACTCATCGTTGGTATGGGATACGAAAGACACCGGACCGGAGCCCAGGCCCACCGATGCGACCAACAACTTAACTTCTTCATCCCTCAGCTTGTAACTGCTGTTCAGTTGCCTCTTCTGCTCTGCTAGCATGTGATCCCGGCAAATCACAGCTAACTTTACCTTCTCTAATTCCCATGATACTACTTTAGAACGCTTTTCTCAGAGAATTTTAGACCTCAAACATTACTCAAGCCAACCCCTGGATTGTTCTGAGCAGGAAATTGAGACCCAATAAGGGAGTAAGTGACGTGGCCAAGGTCACACAAAAATTCCCACCAGAGGTGGGCTGAGAATCCAGGTCTCCTGACTCCTAGTTCAGCATTTTCTTTTTAACTCCACCATGATGAAATCTCATTTTGGCTTTGCTGCTAAACAGAAACATTATAGGGAAGGCAACTTTTAGTTGGTTTTTGAAAATTTTAAAATGTGTAGTTTATCCTAGTCTTGTAACTGATTACCCCTCGTTAACTGTCTAGACCTGAAGGGTCCAAAACGGTAGTCTGTAGCCACAGATGGCCATTTAAGGTAAATTAATTAAGAGTAAGTACATCACTCACATTTCAAGTGGTCAATAGTTAGTAGCTGGTATATTGGACATGGCAAAAATAGAACATTTCCATCATCACTTCAAGTTCTAGTGGGCAGTGCGGGTCTAGATTAGATTAATTAGATTAATTGCTTCATTTTCTTTTACATTTCATCTCATGAACTAATCACTTCCTGGCCCTGGGAGATGCCTGTTTCTGGTAATGGGTCTATAGGAAATGTCTGCTGTACTGTCTCTGGTTTGTAATGAAACTAATTTTTTTCCTCATAAATTATACTTTTTTTTTTTTTTAAAGAAATACCAGGAGACGGTTCGCCAAAGATATAATAAAATTGTATTTACTGATCCTCATCTTTGGATGCAGGAAGAAAAAAATGGTGAGTGTTTCCCCACTTTTTCCCTCGACATTGTATTCTGAAAAATTTCAAACATACAGAAAAGTTGAAAAAATTCTGCAGTGGACACCCATATACGCATCTTCTAGATTCTACAATTAAAATGTTGCCGTGTTTGCTTTATCATATGTCTACTTATCCTCTGTGCATCCATCAATCCATCTTATTTTTGGAGGCATTTCAGAGTAACTTGAAGACATCAGTACATCTTATCTGAAATATTTCAACATTTGTTATCACTAACTAGGGCTTAATATTTATTTATGGCTTTTTTTCCTTTTGAGATAAAATTCACATATAATAAAATGCACAGACCTTAACTTATTAAGTGTTAACTTATTAAGTGTTGTTTGATGGGTTTTGACAGACGGGCATACCTTTGTTACCCAACACTTCTCTCAAAACAGAGCTTCTCATCACTGTGGAGAGTTCCCCTATGCTCCTTCCCTGTCAGTTCCGCACCACCCAGGCAACGACTGTGCTTTTTTTTTTTTAACTATAGATTAGTTTTGCCTGTTTTAGAATTTCATATAAATGGAATCATACATGTATTTACTCTTTGGTCTAAGGCTTCTTTCATTTAGCATGATATCTTATAAATTTATCTATTACTTGTTTCCTATTGCCACAGTAACAAGTTTGTAACAAGTTAAAGCACAAATTTAGCAGTTTAAAACAAATTTTTTCTCTTACAGTTCCTGGAGGTCAGAAGTTTGAAGTGAGTCTTAAAGGGCTAAAATCAAGGTGGTGGCAGGGCTGCTTCCTTCTTCCACCTTCTAAGGCTGCCTGCAGTCCTTGGCTTGCAGCCATATTACTTCACACTGCTTCTGTTGTCACATTGCCTTCTCCTCTTCTGAGTCAAATCTTCCTCTGCCTGCTTGTTATAAGGACATGTTGATTACACTTAGGGGCCACCCCAGTGATCCAGGTTACTCTCCCCATCTCAAGATCCTTAAAGTCCCTCTTGCCATAGAGGGGACATTAACAGGTTCCAGGGAATAGAATGTGGAGCCAGTGTGCAGCCTACCACACTTTGTATCAGCGTTCATTCCTTTTTATTGCTGAGTAGTATTCCATTGTACGCATGTACCACATCTAGTTTATCCATTTGCCTGTAGATCTGCATTTGGTTATTTCTAGTTTGGGGCTATTAGAAATAAATCTGCTATGGGTGTATTCATGTATAGTCTTTGTATGGACATAAGTTTCCATTTCTTTTGGATAAACACCTGAGTAGACTTGCCAGGTTATGGGATAGGTACATGTTTAACTTTATAAAAAACTGCCAAACCTTTCCCCAAAGTGGCTGTACCGTTTTACACTCCCATCTACATTGAGTTCCTGTTGCTAGAGAGCTTTGCCAGTATTTGAGTTGTCAGTCTTTTTCATTGTAACCATTCTGGTGGGCCTGTAGCAATATCTCTTTATGGCTTTAATTTCATTTCCTTGGTGAATAATGATGTTTAGAACATTTTCAAGTAGTTATTAGTCATTTGTATGTCTTCCTTTGTGAAGTGTCCAAATCTTTTGTACATTTTAAGAAATTGGATTGTCTTTTTATTTTTGAGTTGTAGGAATTCTTTATGCATTGTGGGTTTGAGTTCTTTGTCTCATATATATATATATATATATGTATATATAGTTTGTTTTCAAAACAGCTTTATTGGATGTAATTCACATACCATAAAATTTACCCTTTTAAAGAGTTCAGTAATTTTTAGAATATTTACAGAATTGTGCAGACGTCATTGCTAATTCCAGAACGTTTTCCTCACTGAAAAGAAGCCCTGCATCCAGTAGCATCACCCCTCATTCTCCCTCCCCTCATCCCAGCAGGCACTAATCTCGTCCAGCGGATATCTGCAAACATTCTTCCCCATCTATAGCTCACCTATTTATTTTCTCAAATGTGTTTTATTATGAGCAGACATTTTAAATTTTGATAAAGTCTAACCTGTCCATTTTTTCTTGTATAGTTTTTGCTTTCTCTGATCTAATAAACCTTTGCCTACTCCCAAGTTGAGAAGAGAGACTTGTTTTCCTCTAGAAGCTTCATGGTTTTAGCTTTTATGTGTGGGCCTGTGATCCATCTTGAATAAAAGTTTGCCTGTGGTTTGAGGTAGAGGTTCTTTTTTTTTTTTCCACTAATGGATATCCACTTGTTCTTGCTCTGTTTGTTGAAAAGACTTTCACTTTTCTCTTCCACTTTAAAAAATTCATACATATGCGTTCTGGCTGCAGTTGCTAGGCTACTATCACAATTTGGGCTGGCAAGTGTTACTCAAATTCTCTTTGACACATGCTTATCAGTTATTACTTTACGCAGTGAAAGGAGGAAAATAAAATGTGGTTAAACATTACCTCTAAAGGAATTTCAGTACTATGAGTATTAAGAGAAGTAAAGGAAATTGTGGATATAGAAGGTTTACAACAGCAGCTTATGTATATATACTTTTTTTAGAGTATGAGTTTGGGGTATTGTCTTAGGAAAAGTATTCTCCATGTCAAATTCTGACAGAAAGATGAGCCATCTAAACAAAATAACAAATTTGTTCCTTTTGTCTTCTGTAATTTTTCCAGCGCTATTCTTTGTTCATGTCATTCTCTCTTTCCCCGATTCCTACTCCAGCTTCCATTTTCATCCTCACATGACAGTTGAACCATTCTTCGAGGCCCGGCTCACGTGATCCTACTCGGCCGTGCTTTTCCTGGCTTTCCTAGGCTGGAACTTTGCTCCCTTCCTGTGAACTCCCGTAGACTTTTGGCATGTCCTACCCTGTTAGAGCTCTTTATCTCTCCCAAAGAAGCCACAGAATCTTTGAGGCCAGAGAGTTTTGTCATATTCAGTTGTGTCCCGACGGTACCTAGCATGGGCCTGGCACAGGGACCCTTCTAATCATTGCTTAGTGAATCAGTGGGCATCTTTTCGTAAGGAAGCAGAGGAGAGGGAAATGTTGAAGGGTGACAGTTTCACTGATGGTTTGGCCAATGGCCACAGTCAGGTTGCATCATGCAGAAGACAGCCTTACCAAGGACTCGGTGTTCTCTTTTTCAAGGACAATTTAAATTGTTAGTCACTATCTCTGACTCTGCTAGAGTCTAGGTTTGCATTTAGAAGGAGCTCTGAAATGAATTTTTGGACACTTTAAATCCAGAATCATGAAATCCTCATAAGAACCCTCTGTTTCTAATTGTTCTGATTGTATGTTCAGTTGCATCACAAAAACCAAATTTAAAGTGATTTTTGAATTGTGCAGTGTCGAACCTATATCTCTTATCTTCTCTTTTCTGAAATCAATTGAAAATTGATTGTACTCTCAGTAATATTTTCTAATATTCTTTTATTTTTTAGATGTTGGGGGTAGGAGTTTATTAATTAATTTATTTTTGCTGTGTTGGATCTTCATTTCTGTGCAAGGGCTTTCTCTAGTTGTGGCAAGTGGGGGCCACTCTTCATCGCGGTGCACGGGCCTCTCACAATCGCAGCCTCTGTTGTTGCGGAGCACAGGCTCCAGACGCGTAGGCTCAGTAGCTGTGGCTCATGGGCCTAGTTGCTCTGCAGCATGTGGGATCCTCCCAAACCAGGGCTTGAACCCGTGTCCCCTGCATTAGCAGGCAGATTCTCAACCACTGCACCACCAGGGAAGCCCTTCTCAGTAATATTTTTACAAAAACTGACTTATGCAGTATTTCTGAGCATAAAAAATCATAAGCATATAAATATGTGAGTCAGATTCTACATTTTTTAATTAGTTATCTATTTTATACATATTAGTATATATATGTCAATCCCAATCTCGCAATTCATCCCCCCCACCCTGCTTTCCCCCTTTGGTGTCCATATGTTTGTTCTCTACATCTGTGTCTCTATTTCTGCCTTGCAAACCGGTTCGTCTGTACCATTTTTCTAGATTCCACATAAATGCGTTAATATACGATATTTGTTTTTCTCTTTCTGACTTACTTCAGTCTGTATGACAGTCTCTAGGTCCATACACATCTCTACAAATGACCCAATTTCATTCCTTTTTATGGCTGAGTAATATTCCATTGTATATATGTACTACATCTTCTTTATCCGTTCATCTGTTGATGGGCATTTAGGTTGCTTCCATGACCTGGCTATTGTCAATAGTGCTGCAATGAACATTGGGGTGCATGTGTCTTTTTGAATTACGATTTTCTCTGGGTGTGTGCCAGTAGTGGGATTCTACATTTGAAATGCATTTAAAATGATAAGTAATCCAAAACTCAAAAGAGCGGTCAAGCCTGCAAGGTATAGTTAATAAGTTAAATGTTTTGACTATCATCATGCAGATTTTTCCAACGAAGCCCAGAGACAAATCAGCTAATTAAGTGTTCAGGTGTGAGTGGTTTTTTTCCTTCTCCAGCAATCAAATCATTTAAAGGTTAAAAAACAAACCCAACTGCTTAAGACTCCTCGGAATGGGGGCTGGATCCTAATGGAACCTGGCTTTGCACAGACCTCTTCAAAGAGTCTTCCAAAGAGCTGACAGAAGCTTTTAAACCAGTTCTTTATTTCTTAAAACTGACTCCTCATTGGTTTGTTTCTTGGTAACTTTAATTTTTTTATTTTTTAACGACAGTCCCCTTAATATTATTTATTTATTTATTTTTTGGCTGTATCAGGTCTTAGTTGCGGCGTGTGGGATCTTCTGTTGCAGCACGTGGGCTCCTCGCTGCGGTGTGCAAGCTTCTCTCCAGTTGTGGCGCGTGGGCTCTCTAGTTGTGGCGCGTGAGCTCCAGAGCACACAGGCTCAGTAGTTGCGGCGCTCGGGCTCTCCAGTTGTGGTGTGCAGGCTCTGCACTTGTGGCGCACAGGCTGAATTGCCCCGCAGCATGTGGGATCTTAGTTCCCCGACTAGGGATCGAACTGGTGTCCCCTGTATTGTAAGACAGATCCTCAACCACTGGACCACCACGGAAGTCCCTCTTGGGGACTTCTAAATTCCCCTTTTCATTTAAAACAAGGGCACTTTTTTCCCTTTGTACTGCTAATGCAACCTTTATGCTTAAGAGATGTGCCCATGACTTCCTCACAGGTTATTGGCCACCAAGACAGCTCTGATATATACACCAGCATTTCTTTATATGCAGTCATTTTATGCTTCTCCTTTTCTAGACCAAAAAATCCCAGCAGTAAGTGAAAGGCGTCTTTCTCCTCATCCAATCAGGATCACAAAGACAGCAGCTCGCAAAGACCCAGATGTGAACATCGTGTTAGAAAGGCCCTGCAATGGCACGTAAGTGGTAACGAGACTGTAAGATTTCATTGTAGTTGGTTGCCTTTGATGTTGTTAGATTTCACATTCCTTCAATTACCACAAGACAGAGAGAGATTCTCCTTTTGACCAAGATCTTGACAAACTCCAAGATGGCCCAGTAAAATAGTAGTGCTTATAAGATGGGCATTGAGTGTGTTGCATCTTAAGGATCCTTTCAGTAACGTTTAGCTGGTTTTTACGATTGAAAGCATCACACTGGCACAGGTGATTGTGCAGGTAATTACTGCAAGATCTGCTTTAAGAATTCTTTTGTCCGTGGGACACATGTTCCTCCTGTGTGGAGGGTTAGTCCCGTGTAAAGGAGAAACAATGAGTGGTGATAAGATGTTGCGTTTTGTTCAGTGTGAGGAAGGGAAATGGAGGTAAACCTTTGGTTGTCAAACCATCAGGGTGAATTAACAGTTTACCCTCGCTTGCAGATGATTTTGAATGCTCTCATCATTTTTATTTGCTCTCAGTTCCCTAGATGAAAGTGTGGGAACAGAGGAGAGACCGGAAAAAAGAGAGAATCCCCTTCTCTCCCTTTCAGAAGATGCTCAGCAGAAGGAAGGCCGAGCTGCTCTCTTTGTCCCGCGGGGCATGCGGCGCAGCATTGGTGACTACTGCCGCCGCTTCGAGCAGTACCTCCGGGTTACTGCGCACGAGGCTGTGGGCTCCTTCAACCCGTGGCTGATAGCTGAAAGGTCAGTAGAAGGTTTGTGCTTTGTTGAGGAACTGGGTGCCACGTGTCAACTTACGGAAAGGCTGGAGAAAGGCCTGGCCAGGGTCTCAGGCCGTGCTTTTGCGCCCCGGAGTTCCAGTGGCTGCTTCGGGGCTAGTGAACAGGCTTTTCTGCTAAATGCCTCTCTTCAGGGAGAGGAGATGGGAAAACTGCATGGCTGATGGCATCCAAAGGAGCGTTCTGCAGACTCCCCTCCTTAGGTAGAGGCACAATATTCAAGACAGGACAGGTTTCCTGTTGCTGGTACTGAGGGCTGTGTCATCAGAGAACACAGATTATTACTGGGCAGGAAACAGTTATGATCATGAAATCTTCACGGTCGGGACAAACTTACAGTAGGGGGCTTCCCTGGTGGCGCAGTGGTTGAGAGTCCGCCTGCCGATGCAGGGGGACACGGGTTCATGCCCCGGTCCGGGAGGATCCCACATGCTGCGGAGCGGCTGGGCCCGTGGGCCATGGCCGCTGAGCCTGCGCGTCCAGAGCCTGTGCTCCACAATGGGAGAGGCCACAACAGTGAGAGGCCCGCGTACCGCAAAAAAAAAAAAAAAAAAAAACTTACAGTAGGAGCAGCAGGCCTACAGATTTTGCTACACTTAACCTCCTCCTTCTGGCTGTCGCCTCCCCTAAGAAGGGGAGTTTTGTGGAGTCAGAAAACAGTCCCACTGCTACTAAATATTTGAAGAATGGGTAGCCTTCTTTTACGTAAATAGTTAATTGAAAGATGTGTGTAAATTCCTTCTCTTAAAATGGAGCCCAAATTTAAATTCCTCATGAGCATCACTTTATTACATACGTGCAGATAATCTTCATCATTGAGCCAAGCAGTATACCATGATGACATTTCTTTCTTGAACAAGTTTCAAACGTATTCCAGGAGTTAATAATTGCCTCTTTTTAATTTGCCTATTCTTTTATGTATTTGTTATCGTTTCCCACATACTAGCCAACACGTCTGAACATAATTTTCCTCATGATCAGATATGTTGATTAATCTCTGTTTCTCGCCTCCACCCCGACTCTTTCTCCTGAGGCCCTCTTTCCTTCTGCCTCAGTCTGGCCCAGCCGCTTTCTAGGTCTGCAGTGTGGTTCTGGTCCTGGGAACCACGCTGAGTATGCGATTCTCCCTCCCATGTTAGGATCCTTGTTTTCTGTTTGCACGTGTCCTCCTCTTTCTTGGTTTACTCTCTTACTCTGATGGAGCCTATACTGCTTTGTGTATTAGAGGACATTTCTTGAGACTTAAAATGTTTGAAGGTGTCTATCTTCATACTTGATTGATGATTTGGCTGGGTTTTAAATTCCTGGTTTATTACTTTATTTATTTATTTTTGGCTGTGTTGGGTCTTCGTTGCCGCACGCGGGCTTTCTCTAGTTGCGGCCAGCAGGGGCTACTCTTCATTGTGGTGCGTGGGCTTCTCATTGCGGTGGCTTCTCTTGTTGCGGAGCGTGGACTCTAGGCGCACGGGTTTCAGTAGTTGTGGCTCACGGGCTCAGTAGTTGTGGCTTGCGAGCTCTAGAGCGCAGGCTCAGTAGTTGTGGTGCACGGGCGTAGTCACTCCGCGGCATGTGGGATCTTCCCGGACCAGGGCTCAAACCCGTGTCCCCTGCATTGGCAAGCGGATTCTTAACCACTGCACCACCAGGAAAGCCCCAAATTACTGGTTTATTTTTTCCAAAGAATATACCTTCCTTTTATTGTGGGGGTCAGGCAGGGATCGTCAGGTAGCTGCCAGGAGCAGACGTGGAGACCCATCAGTCTAACTGCTTGTTCTGCAGATTCTCAGCCAGTTGGTTCATTTCCTACTGGATCTTTCATTCCACTTTCATGGTTCCTGGTTCTCTTACTTCCAGAGTCTTTCTGTGAGACGTGTTTTGTGAGACAGATCAGCTTGCTTTTCCTTGGCGTCTCCCTCTATGTACCCTAAGGTTTCAGCTTCCTCTGTATTGTTCCTCTGTACCGCTGAGTCAATTTTGATTCTTCCATGTGCTTTTTATCTTCCGAAAATCTTGGACATTTCTCATCTAGTTCTGTCTTTTTCTCCTTGCAGATTTCTGTGTTCATTTATCTCCTTTTATTTTGGTGGGCTTTTGGGTGAGATCAGAGATGATCACTTATGTTCTATCTCTCAGGCTTAGCCTGAAGTCCTGGGACTTCTGTTAATATACATACCCTTCAAAGCATATGAGACCCTTTGTTCTGTTGAGACGCGCATTTATTTTCTGGAGAGGAGAGTAGGTACACTTGACTTGCTTCCGTGTGTTAACACGCAGTCCTGTAGCATACTCACTGGTTTGCACAGAACCTGTCTGGATTGGTTAGGCTAACTGGCATCTTGGGAAGTCCAAAATAAGCTAAGGAAGATAGACTGTTCCTTGTATGTTCTTACCACTTGATTAACGATACATTTTGTTCATAGTTGTTTTGTAGATGTAGGGAAAAGCTCTCTCAGTTTATAAGGACTAATAGGTTAAGATGTTGAGGTCAGATCTATTAAAATACGCCTGAATTTCACGGATGTTCTCTTCTCCTGTCCTTGACCCTCAAGTGACAGCACATCTAAATATTCTAGCTCTGTTTTTGATCTCCCTTGTTTTGTTTCTTAATTTGAGTGTTCCAAAGATGAGAAGTATATTGATCAAATCTTGAAAAAGTATCCAAAGACAGTTGACTTCATCTGATAGCCTCTGGGTGAGGGAGAAGTAAGCTGAGTTTTTCTCCTTCTTTTAATGTCTCCACTCCTCCCTCCACGAGAAAAGCACTGTTCCGGTGGTCAAATGGGGCAGGTGATATAAACTGGATGTAAATAAAAGAGTCATTCTGGAAGGGAAGGCTTAAGGTGATAATGCTTTTAATGAAAGCAAACTCTTAAAGGTTCCTTGTTTGAAAAACAAATCAGGAGACTTCTGGTTGAAAAGGTCAGATTGAGGGCTTCCCTGGTGGCGCAGTGGTTGGGGGTCTGCCTGCCGATGCAGGGGACACAGGTTCGTGCCCCGGTCCGGGAAGATCCCACATGCCGCGGAGCGGCTGGGCCCGTGAGCCATGGCCGCTGAGCCTGCGCGTCCGGAGCCTGTGCTCCGCAACGGGAGAGGCCACAACAGTGAATGGCCCGCGTATCGCAAAAAAAAGAAAAAAAAAGAAAAGAAAAGGACAGATTGAACATATGATTTATCTCTACTCCCTATATCCCTAGCCCACTCTATGCCACTGAAAGACTAGATAAAAGGCATGAAACCATAGATGACAGCAAATAAGAAATAGCAAGAAAATTTTGAAAGCCACAAAGCAGTTAGAGAAATGGCAAGTGACTTAGCAGACCAGAGAGAGCCAAGTGCCTGATGAGGGTGGAGCCAAGACCCTGACTGATTTGTGCAGAAGAACCTTGGTAAGACTCAGGAATGAGGAGCACTAGATGCGTGGGTCCAGGGGAGTCAGAAAGTAGGAGGCTTAGTTGAAACTCTCAGTCTTGAATATAGCAGATTGCTAAGAGACCCAGACATTTGCTGAAAACCATGAAAGCTACATAGGCTATTATAACAGAGAAAACATCTGCATAATAGGAGTTCCAGAATGTGAAAACAGGGAAAAAGGAGGAATGGAAAATTATTGAGGAAATACTATAGAAAAATCCCCAGAAGGTTGTTAGTCTCTAGATTGGAAGGGTTCGCCAGTTGCCCACTGTGAGTGAGTGAGTGAGTGAATAAATAAACAGAACAGAACACATCACGGCATGCTGTTGTGCAAAGGATAGGTGGGCATCCCAATGTAAGGAGAAGATGACAGAAGGTTCCAGAGAGTTAAAACTGGGCACAGTCAAATAATCAGAAATGAGAATGGCATATTGCTGTCAGTAGCAACCCTGCTAGAAGATATTAGAGCATGCCTCCCATATTTACCCTAGAATTCTGTGCTCAGCTAAATTACTGATTAAATAAAAGGGTAGAATATAGACAGTTTAAGGTATGCAAAGTGTCCAAAAATGTAGTTCCCATGCACTGTTTCTCAGTAAGCTACCAGAAGGTGTGTACCACCAGCACAAGGTGCACATTGAGAAAGAGGAAGACGGGATTTAGGAAACTTAAGACCCCAACGTGGAACTTGCAAGAAAATGGGAAGAGCTATTTCTGAGAGAATTTTTCAGTGAGCATAGAAAGCAGCTAGTCTAGATTGGAGTCAGGAGGACAGAGGGCTCCAGGAGGAGTAGTTTCCAGCAGGGGAAGCCAGCGTGAGGAAGGTTAAAAAAGAAGAAGAAAACAGATACATTACCTCATGTGTTTGAATGTATTGGGAGCACCTTTGTGTTTCTCTCATAGTTTGAGGATGAATTAGTGATAGGAATATAGAAAGCAAAGCAAGCAGAAAAACAAAGTAATCACTTCTGCTTCTAGTAATGACACAGTTGGTAATTTTGGACCGCCTCTCCCACTGAGGATAACTGTTAATAGAAAAGCTAGATTAAAAATAAAACGTACATGCTTGAAGGCACCAGGAAGTTAACTAGGTAATGAAGAATAACTGGGCCAGGATCCTGAGGAGACAGAGACCCAGGGAGGTTAGCCCTTGTCTGGCACTGGATTGGCGGTTCTGGAGGAAGATGAATGGTACTTTCAGTGGCCTTTTCAGATCAGAGGACAGAGGTGGAAATTAAGGGCTTGCCAAGGGCGGGGAACTGGCCTGATGAACTTCCCTCATTTCTGCTTGGGACCCTGAAGGGTGGCACTCTGGAATAAGGGTGACCGGGAAGCCGGCAGGCCCTCTCAGGACTCCACTCAGTTCCACGTCATCTCACTTCCTGAGATTGCGTTGAGGTGATTCTAGATTGTTGCCCCGCAGGCACCGAGCAGAAGCAAACTTAACATTTCTCTGAAGATTTATAATATCATCTTAGGATTGAAATTATTTCTGCAATTTTCAAATTCAGTGTCTGGTATATGGTAAAAAAAAAAAAAAAAAAAAAAGGCAGG